CTGAGGCAGGAACTATTTTATTTGAAATTTCCGTGGAAACGGTGGAACCGCTTTTGCTATTTCACTTTCCCGCCCCTGAATATTATCAAATGATTATCAAAACGTTTTTCAAACTATAATTTGTTATATGTGTTTTAATTAGACAATTCCTTTTGTTTGTGGCCCTAAAAATATAATGTAAGTCTTTAATTTTTATCTATTTATATTTACTCCATTTACAAAACTTTGGGCGTATTACGTTGGTCTTGTTTTATTATAATAAACGATGTTTAAATATTTGATTTATAAATAAAAACTCTAAATAATAAATAATATTTACACATGTTTGGCTTTAATTTTATTTAATAATTGTATAAATTATACTGTTAAATCTTATTTTTTATACATCACAACGATACTTGTTACTAGTATTGTTGAATTTGTGTAAAAAATAAGATTTAATAATCAAATTTAATTATTTTAGAGTAAAATTCAATAAATACGCTCATTTAAAAAGCCCGCGCTTCGATCCATTTATAACAAGCCCTACTCAATAGATGGCGCCACTTCTGGAGGACCATTTTTCAGTATGGCAGAGTCCATTCTTTTTCTAGCTAGGTATATTCTTTGACTGCCACATTTAATTATTTCCATTTTTTATTTCCTGACAATGTCATTCGTTTTGACACTTTAGTTTTGTATTACTAGTTTTGGTTTAAGTAAATTGTGTTTTAATACTTTAAGCTTATTTTTTTTTACTAGCAGACCTTGCAGTCGAACATTGTTCTTTTTAGAACCTATTTTAGTGCGAAGTGTACAGGGTGTTGGTGTCCCTTTTTAGTTGAAATCATACGGTATCTCCATTATTAGTAAAGATAGGAGGATGCGGTTTCCATAAACTGGTCCCACTTTTTCTCAAACGGAAGATGCTGTAAACAAAATTTTGATAGCACTCTTCGATGGTCTTTTTGGAAATTTTACAATTTAGAATACCCCTCGTATCTCTGTTATTTTGAAAGTTATTGAGAAGATGACAACTTTTTCTTGTAGAACTTTTTACGTAGAATACAGTGGCGTGGTCTCTTTTTCCATGAAAAAAATTAAGATATGAACTAATGCTATGTTTTCTTAAATAGTACACCCTATAGGTATGTTTATAAATTATATGATGCCCTTTCCTTTGTGCTTCTCAAAATATACAGGGTGAGTCTTAAATAAGTGCAAATATTTTCAGAGGTGGTATATTTCGACCCCAGGAACACGTCTATGATGCTTTTTTCGCAAAAAAAGATTAAATTTGCCTGTATATTTTTCGAAAACTTTTTAGAACTACCTGTTCACCGCAAATTATTTTCCCACGGTATAATTTCTTAATTTCTCTCTGATATTACCATAGTTACAGCTTTACTCTATAGTTACGGCACTAAAAGGGATGCAAATACAGAAAAAAGCCGGTGGCTCTCAAAATTTTTCCAAAACAAATATATTTTTTTTAATTTTCAAACTTATATAACTCGGTTATTTTGTACTTACATATTTGAAAAATGGTAAAGAGAAAATATATTTCTTTTATCGAGATATACCAGTCCTGAAAATATTTGCACTTATTTAAGACTCACCCTGTATAAAACTTACTCGTAACTTGTAACTCGTAACAGACTCACCCTGTATAAAACTTACTCGTTATTAGTAGGCCATGATAAAAAATCAAAATGGTATTTACTAAAATATTCATACACTTTTAGATTATTACCACCTCTATTACCACTGAATAAATTTTCCTTTTTTTAACGGGTTTATTATAGCGAGATGAGTTTGCAAATATATAAAAACTTGCCTAATAGCATTTTCCAAACTTCGAAATTGTAATTGCTACAATATGTTTTATTTTTCAAAAATCCTTAAATACAGAAATCGAGAACGGACAAATCCGAGGATCTTAGGGGTCATCGTATTAATCACAATTGATTGATTTGGAAAATAGTCCTTTAAAAAATTTAAAAATTTTTTAAAGTTGTGAGCCGCATCTTGCTGAAAGTATATTTCAAGTAAATTAACTAAAGAAATATACTCTGAAAGTTCCGGTAAGATAGTTTCTGAGATTTACAAATAGCGCTAGAGTGTTAAGTTTCCCTGATATATAAGGAATTTATTAGCACCCCACAAAATAAAACCAGAGACAGATAGCAGTATACTCTTAATAATTATTTTGCTTCTTTTATTATCAATCACGGCCTACTAATAAAAAAATTTAAATATTGCAGTAAATAGTGAAAATAACTAGACTTATTTATATAGACCTAGTCCGTTATATACTTTTGAGATGCACAAAGTATATAACACTGGATCATATGATTTATAAATATACAGGATGGTCTATTTAAACCATAATTTTAGTTCATAACTTCAAAATAATGACCACGCCGCTGAATTCTATGTAAGAAGTTCTATAAGAAACAGTTTTCACCTAAAAAGACTCTGTAGCTAAGAAACGATGCGGGCTATGAAAATTTTGTTTGCAGCTTCTTCCGTTTGACAAAAAAGTGGGTAAGGTTTGTGCAAACCGCACCCTTCTATCTTCACTAATAACGGAGATACCGTATAATTTCAACCAAAATGGAACACCCTGTACATATACCAAAGTAATTCGTTAAATTCTTAATTTCCAGTCAGTTTATAGGGGCCACTATTCAATTCATTGTAGTATTTGTTTCATAGTCATCAACTGATTGACGAGAATATTTCAAAATTCCTGGACTACAAATATTTTCGACAAAGCTAAATAATGAAAAGCGTGAGGCGTGTTCAATTTGGAGCAACATGTGCAAATGAGCGTCAATTTTCCTAATTTTCCTGTTACACGTTTTGTATTTGGGATTTTTTATGTTTAGTTTTGCGAAATATATAACAGAGCTTTTCTATTTTTTAAAAAGAAATATAGCCTTTTAAATCAATTTGTTGTAACTATTAAATAACATCCTTTTATGCTTTTAGGTTTTATTCTAGAAATTGATACACTTTTGGAAATATAATTTAAAAATAGATAAAAAACTAGTACGAGTTTTTTATTAACTTTAACTATTAATGATGTTCGTAGGTGGTTACAAAATTTGTGTTAAGCATTTTTCAACTACTTTTGTTGAATAGGTGCATATGTAACTTTGAACATATTTTATGTTCTCGTCCCAATAAAAGGATCATTTTATTATCATCTTCTTAAATATATCAATGGGGGCAAAAGTATTTTGATTGCCCACTTAGTGTAACATTGCAAAGTAGCAGATAAGTTAATATAATAGCAAAATAAAACACTATCAATTAAAATGTTTTGCTGTATTGTGGTGAATTATTGTTTTATTTTGCTGTTGTAATACCAAAAGTTCCAACCCCAACTGTAAGTTAAATAATAATACTTAAAATAGATAAATAAACGTCAAATACATCAAGTTAACGTATCATTGTTGCTTTCAGGGCTAATAGGGGCCTGATTTAGTTTGTTTACACGCAGTCCTCAGCGATATAATGGCCTACAGACTTGGTCTCCAAATCAGCTCTTACTCACAAAGTATCCCCTTTCATCCGGACTCTAGAATAAAACCGTTTTCACTCTTGCCTTGGAACAACGACACAACAGAGATTTTCAGACATCCCCTCGTCCAAATATTAACATTATCTTATGTCACTTAACTTCGGTAATCGATCGGGATATGATGTTTCGACGCACTTGAGTTACTGGATTATTATATGTTATATTATTATATTTTAGATAGATTCATTCATTTATTAGATATTATACATCTATCATAAAAAATTATAGTTTTTTATAAATATCTTGCAATTATACACGTTGTAAAAAAACAACAAATTAAACATGTAACTATTTAACGCAATAAGTACATATTATGTACCTACCAAATCCACAAAAAATAATATAAAAGAACAATCATAGCATTACAAATTGTGAAACCCCTATCATTAACAATTATTTCAAAGAATTTTGCTAACTTTTATATTTTTATATTTATATATTTGTGAAAATAATTTTGTATTTGACTAAGAGTGGGTCCCAGTGTGTCCCATCGGGGCAGCTACACATAACGTGCTTCATTGTTTCGTCATCCATACAGAGTCGGCATTCGGCGTCTTCCACCAGTCCCATCCTCTATAGGTGTGATCTTAGCCGGCAGTGGCCCATGTATACTGCAGTAAACGTAGACGCTCCGTTCCTACCAGCCTTTAGGAGTTCATCTGTTCTACGTTTGGATGGCCCTGCTGTCATACCAGTCCCGGAACATCGCAACCCTAACCCATTCACAGAGCCTGTCTCTTGCGCGATTTTTTGGTACGCTAAGTTTTGGGCCCACGAATGGAGAGCCTGCCCCATTTTTTGCGAGGAAATCAGCACGTTCATTTTCCTCTAGGCCGACATGTCCCGGTATCCATATTAGCGACACTTTGTTCCTATCTCCTAATATATTGAGTAGTTTCTTACAATGAAGAATCGTTATAGACGTGCTTTTCGTTGCCTGAAGCCTTTAAAAAAAAGGTAACTAGTGATATTAGTTACTCAATAGTAAGTTAAACACTAATTATAACTGATTATAATTGAATGTTTAGGAAGTTATCTGAAAAAAATATATTATTAGACGTTGATATTAACATTGAATTTTAACCACTGATAATTAATTCTAGAGCGATTGATATATTTTATTAAATTCCTGTGTATTTATATATTATAAAACATATTATTTTACACAGAGAGTTTATTTTGTACTAGTGCTTTTATATCTTCATTTGGCGCATCGAAAAATTTTATTTTATATTATGAAGTTTCCAAAGTTGTGTTAGGAATTATAAAATAATATTTCAGATTATTAATTTTTTGTTCTGATCAGCATTATTTAGACTATTTTGGAGTGTATAGATATCTACAAAGGATATAGTTTTATGCATATTAAAATATACCAAAAAAATATGTATAGTAAATTTTAATACCCGTAGATTATTTATTATTGTTTCAGGTATCAAATGCTTTTCTTATTCATTACGTACTTAGTTCCGATGGCACTTATGTCCATGTGCTACACCATTATGGGTAAAGTCTTATGGGGTTCCAGATCCATTGGTGAACTAACTCAAAGACAAGCCGACGCAATCCGTAGCAAAAGAAAGGTAAGCAACAATATATTTAGGTTCAATTTAATACCTTAGAGTTAAACTAGATATTACTAGTAAGCCAAAACATAAGCTTTATTTTCTGCCGGAGATTTTTTTAATATAATTTTATAATTTAAACTAAAAGAATTTGGAACTTCCATTTTCTTTATTTATTTTTGATTAACACAACGTTTCGGTCAGAAAGATCACAACCCGTTATCAAGTGTAAACTTTAAAATCCGAAATTCTTTTAGTTTAAAATACTGGATCATTGTCAACCACATTCAAAATAATTTTATAACTTTCAGTCAGCTAACGATAAAAGCTAATGCAGTTAGCTAATGCTAAGATTCTCAAAGCTATAGTAAGTCTACTAACAGAGCATTTCAATCTGGAGTGTCATGGCTGTGCAACCAATTTTTAATCAAGGAGCCCTCGTCGAGATTTGATCGTCTAATGTTTTTCGTGTCTTGTCCTGCCGGGTAAAAATGGCCAAATCGTATTTTTAATTATATCTCAATTTTTTCAAATGGAACAAGGGCGGCTCATTAGCACATTTGGAAAAAGTATTTTTTTACAAAAAAATTGGTATCACTTGGTATTTTGAGTCAAATTGTCGTTATGAACCGCATGTTATAATTTCAAATAAACCATATGCTAAAATGTCAAAAGGGGATATATTATACGTCATTCTATCCAGAGTGTCATTTTCTATCGAATAAAGTAAAAATATACTGAGGGTTCCATTTAAGTGCAGGTAAAATTAAGAGTACATTTCCGGTGAAACAGGAGGTGGCCAAAAACAATTGAATACGTCAATCAATCCTTATTTATATCGTATACTAACGTACCAAATCTCAGTTTTTTAACTGAAAAAATAAAAAAGTTATATGAGTTACTTTTGAGACGCACACGGTATAGGGAGTTCAATGTCCAAGTTATTAGACTTTTCAAAAAAGATATGACTAGAGAATGTAACCTAGAAATTATAAAAGGACTACAAGATTTCTAAAGGTCGCAATATAATATCTACTCCATTTAAGATTTGATATTTTGTCTATCTTGACCCTATCTCCTTTAGAATTATGTTTAATACAATCTATAAAACGGACTGTCGTAGAAAATATCAAGATTAACTGGCCACCTGCATATTTAGCATTACCATTAAAACTGACCCTTGCCACATAAATGATTAGATTACTTTAACATTAGAGTAACTTTATAGTAAGTTTGTAAGTTTAAATACACTCAGATGCAAAAAAACGCAACGGCAAAAATTTTGGTCAAATTTAAAGTGTTATATTTTTGTTAATTTTAGCCCTGTCTTCATGATTTTTTTAGCAAACTGTATATAATTATATCAACTTTAATTCGTAAGCTAATTTTTTTATAAACTTTAGTATTTGACATATTATACAGAGTTAATCAAGGGGTTGTTTTTTACCCTAACTTTAAAGCACCCTGTACAATAATTTTGTGTGTAAATTTTCGTAAAATATAATTTTTCGATCAGAACCATGACTCCTGGGCATTTTGTTTTTTGATTCATGTCAATACATTCTTTGGTTAATTTTTAAGAGTGAAATGAACTGATCACCATCAATGTGCAATTTTTTCAATTATAATTACTTTTTAGGTCTGGTTTTGATAAATATTCATAACGATAACAGAACTAACAATATTAAAAACCATCGGTCATAAAAATTCATATACAAACAGAAAAAAAAATACCCTAATATTTATTGCCTTCCTTTGCAATATAATATACAGGGTTGTTCACCACATACGACACGGAGTATTGTAGCTAAACGATTAGATTTTTGCAAATTGTAAGTTTTGGGTTCGTAGAAGGACTATTAGATCTACAATTTAAAAATATTTTTACAAGATACAGAGTGTCCCGAATAAATAAAAAATATCAAAGTTTTATTTTTTTAAACGGAACACCCTGTATATCATTACATTTTTAGTTTCTACGATTAAAATAAAGGTAAATTTGATTAAGGTTTACCGCATTTTAATCTTACCGTTTTTGAAATATTTTGGTTTTTGTCAAAATACAGTAATAATTTTAATGCTTCATTTCTCTAGGCGTATTTAAGTTTTTAAACCGAAATATTGTAATAAAGTATTTCTATTTATCAAATTTTGTGTTGCAATAATAAAAATTACACTACCTTATACAGAGTGTCTAAAAATTTATTTTAAATTATTACTAGATTTAAGCGGCAATAACTTGTTTAATTTAAATAGAACACCCTGTATATTTTATGAGAATTAGATGCACAATTTATTTGTGTATCAAATTCTATTATACCATTTTTTACCTATCTCTTCAAATTTTCGTAGATTAAGCATGCATTTTCTTATAATTTATACCTCATTTATAATGTAGTAGTAAGAGTACAGATACTAAAATTGTCGATATAGTTCGATTATTTCATTAAAAAATAAAAAAAAACTCTTTAAATATTTGTATAAGGGGACCAATTAATATAATAATACATATGTAAAAGGGGACCAATTAATATAATAAAGTATTCAAAGGACATTAATTGACTGTTTGCGTTGATTAATAATAATTGCTCCAAACACTAAAAAACTTAATTTTGTATGTGTATTAGAGAGTGTGTGGTACAAAGTAACAACACCTTATAAATTTTATTTAATTTTTTGACGAATGCTCATTTATCACAACAGAGACGTTCATTTTCATACCTTATTCTTATATTGATTTCTAATTGAAATCCACATTTATTTAGAATAATTTATTAACTAACACAATTAAGTATGTAGTTAATTAATATTTGTGCGGAAATAATGGTGGTATATTTAGTTAATGGTATACATTTTTATAAAGATTTAAATGGTTTTCTTTTTGTATACAAATGGGCTAGAAATATTATAGTTTTTAGCACCTGTACATTTTGTACGTTTGTTGCTTTAAAAACAATCTAAAATGTCAATATTCCATGGATATATTGATAAATGAGGTCTAAATTATAAAAAAATGCATTTTCTACAAAAACTTGAAGGTATAGGTAAAAATACTATTTGATAGACATTTAAATCGTGCATCTGATTCTCTTAAAATATATAGGGTATGCCATTTAAATTAAACAAGTTATTGCTGTTTAAAGCTAGGAATTATTTAAAATAAATTTTTCGACACTCTGTATGAAGTGGTATTATTTTTATGATTGCAACACAATAACTGATCAATAAATAAATTTCAGTAAATATTTAGTATTAAAAAGTTTGACAACCTTGTAGAAATGAAGCTCTAAAATATTTACTGCAATTTCAAAAAATTGAAAATATTTCGAAAACAGTAAAATTTAAGTATGATAAACTTTAATCAAATTTACCTTTATTTTAATCATAGAAACTAAAAATGTAATAATATACAGGGTGTTCCATTTAAAAAAAATACAACTTTGATATTTTTTATTAATTTGGGACACTCTGTATCGTGAAAAAATATTTTTAAATTGTAGCTCTAATAGTCCTTCAACGAACCGAAAACTTACAATTTGTTAAAATCTAATCGTTTAGCTACAATACTCCGTGTCGTATGTGGTGAACAACCCTGTATAATATTGCTTTCCCAAACGTCAAACATGATGGGCAGTTCGTAGTGGTATATATGTTACGGTTAAAGTCCGATGTCCGGTTAATGTCGACATTAACATGCTAATGTTTCGGTTAGGTTATGTTTTTGGCTGTTTTGTTGTATGTTATTCTCGAGATTAACCGGGTAATGGCGACATTAACCGGATATCGGACCTTAACCGTAAACAACATAGTTCACAATAATCACCAAAGCCGCCTTGAAACATTGAAAAATAACTTCAAAAAGATATAATAATTGAAAAAATTGCAAATTGTTGGTGGCAAGTTCATTTCACTCTTAAAAATTAACCAAGGCATTTATTGAAATGATCCAAAAAACAAAATGCTCAGGAGATATGGCTCTAACCGTAAAATTATATTTTAGAAACATTTTTACACACGAAATGATTGCACAGGGTGTTTTAAAGTTGAGGTAAAAAAACAACCTCTCGTTTAACCCTGTTAATCTGCCAAATACTAAAGTTTATAAAAAACTGAGTTTACAAATTAAAGTTGATATAATTTATATACAGCTTGCTAAAAAATTCATGAAAATGGAGCTAAAAATAACAAAAATATAACACTTTAAATTTGACCAAAAATTTCTCCGTTGCGTTTCTTTTTGCATCTGAGTGTATAATGTCAATCCAAAGTTATATTTTTATTCATTAATGTTTACCGTTTTCGAAGAGACAATAATAATTTTGTTTCATTGTAATATTAATTATTTAATATTTGAACAATTTAGTAACGTCTAAATCAGGGTTGGCATGATTTAAATCAAATGATTTAAATCAAATGATTTAAATCATGATTTAAATCGTGATTTAAATCAAGTATTTTTTTAAATTTTAATCATGTGATTTAAATCAAAAAATCATTTTTTTTAAACTTTACAATAAATCGAAAAGTAACTGTAAAAGTTATAAAAATGTATCCTAGAAAACTATAAAAAATATTTCTATAACATATATTTCCTATATCTATTCGTTAAATAAAATGTTACACTTACTATTGTAACGTTTAAATACGTTTAATAAATCGAAAAAAGTTGTAAATGTTATAAAACTATATAAAAAATGATTTGTATAACACATATACCTACTAACCTACTACATATCTATTTATCAATTAAAATGTTGGATCGATTTTTGAAGTAATTTCGTGTGAATCCATTAGACTTCTAAAGGGTAGGGATTTATTTTGAAATTTATGTACAAGTGACAAAAAAATGCTGTTCGAATACAATTCATTCGCAACCTCTAGTGCAGAAAAAGGTTCTTTTGATATTAGACTATATCTTCAAATCGTTGTCAGAAAATATGCTGTTTTATATCTTTTTATTTTACACTTTGACAAAAGATAATAGTAATTTCATTTTCGACTTAAGACTATTTCCGAAT